TCCTCAGTATTGTGATGCTTGTAGAAGCACTCTGCTACGTAATGCTACCACACTGAGATGTATCCAACCTTCTGAGTGTCAACCACCTAACGAAATTGCAAGTGGCTACTGCTATATACCTCGTGATTCACCTACCGAAACACCCACTGAATCACCTACTGAATCACCTACTGCATCACCTACTGAATCACCTTCTGAATCACCTTCTGGATCGCCTTCTTCAGGATGGAGTGCCATTGGAAATTGTGTCCTTCTCTTTATTTTGATGATAGTTGCCTTTAATATGTAGAGGTGGTGCAAAGAAGTGTACCACTTAAGAGTGTCATTTTTAGTAGTTTAGTGTTAGAAATAATCATTCATTTTAAAGACTTTTTGAGCTTGTGTCTTGTTTTTCCCTATTTTTATAAATTTTTATTTCAAACAGTCAGTGGTGAATCAACCAAGCTTTGTAATGCCAATCATGTACATGCATAGTCAAGCTTAAAGAGCTCCCAAAATAATAGTATAGAGTCTATAATTCTAATAAGCAAAATGCATCTACAACTTTTAAGTTAAAAAACAATATACTAAGTTAAAACCTGTGCAGCTCATATGGCTCACAAGCTTGCATTGGAATATCTTCATTTTTGTCTTTTTTTGACAGGTTAATTTTCTTGGACCTAGTCAGTGTAAAAATAATTTAATCAATTACTGTGTTTTATACCAATTGACAAAAAGCACAGTAATAATGACACTTTGGCCTGCTACTGCAATCAGCAATGCTAGAATGAAGATGGACAGACCAATAACAAAGTTAAGATAGTTCTGAGTATTTGATGCAGGAGTTGGACTTCCTATGCCTATGCATTGGTGAACAAATGATAATACCTTATTAGTTGTATACTGTTTCTTGTGTCAGTCTAAACTCACAATCGGCTCTTTCAAGACGAATGGTATCAGTGATACTGCCACAGGAATTAGTAGAAGTACAAGTAAAATCACCATAATTGTTATCAGCAACAGTAAGTGTTAGCCGTTGGTTATTCGATGGTGATACTCCTGGGCCAGTGATGGTATAAGTGTCACCAGGGCTGACAGCACACCTTATGGTGACACTCATTCCAACAATAGCACATATTCTTTTACCACTGCCAGCTCCAGAGCACCCATTCCCTGGAATACCAGCAACTGATCCAGTTACATTAACAGCAGGAGTATCTAAATTATTAAAATACCAGTAAATGGATAAAAGAAAATTCATAATTTAAATCACATCTTTGTTTTTATGTTATGTAGAAAGTTTGAGCTTATTCCAACTAAAATTGTATTAAAATGATGCATGGATATAATTCTCATTTTGCAAACCAATAGTATAATTCCAATGACTATAAACCAGCTATACTGTAATGTAACTCACTGCGAACAACAGTGGATGCAGTTACACTCCCACAATCATTAGCTGCAGTACAAGTATATGTTTTAGTCTTAGTAACTGTCAGTGAGGCTGAGGTGACACCAGCTTGAGTAGTGCCACCAGGTGACCATGTAATATTAGTGAGATTGGCATTCATGGGATTTGAGATAACACAGTCTAATTGGACACTGGGG